CAGAGGATGATACAAGGGACAGCAGAGAGAGGGCCAAATTCAAAGGTCTGCTTTCTAAGTTGTGCTCCATCAACTTCCTGAAAAGTCTTGCACTGATGGCAGATGTTCTGACTGAACTTAAGAACTTGTCAGAAATTCTTCAGAACAGGAAGACCACACTCCCAAAGCCCATGACATCATGACGACGTCTGTCAAACGCATAGAAAGTTTCAATCGCTACCCAGGACAACATGCAGTTGATGCCAGTCAGGCAGAGGAAGTGATGAAATTCAAGGGAGAGGAGTTAAGAATTGGCAGGTCTCCCATCATTGACTCTGCTCAGTTCATCCGAGCAGTGGCAGACAATATGAAAGAAAGACTCTTCACAACCACAGCAAACAGAGCACAGGCCAGTGTTGCAGCCAACCGAAAAGAGGCTTATAACAGCCTTATCAATCAAATGGCAATCCTCAACCCTGACAACTGGGACTATGACAATCCTCGATTTGGAGATAATGAGGTGAGGGCTTTGTGTGATGTCCTACATGTGAACCAACAAGAGGCCCATCTTGGATTCACAGAATACAAGGCCAGTGGAGGAAGAAACATTCCCAACAAAATGAAGAAGTTGCTCATGGCAGTGGCACTGTCTCCAAGCAATGCTGACTGTGAACGGGGGTTCAGCACAATGAATAACATCATAACTGAGTATAGGAGCAAACTTACAACAAAAAATGCAGCAAATCTCCTCTTCATCAGCTCTGTGGGACCACCATGCAGACAGTGGGATCCACTGCCTTATGTGAAGACCTGGCTGGGCAAAGGAAGAAGAGCAGCCCACTCAACAAGCTGCATGGCTCGCCGGTACACAGAAGAGGAGAGCTACTTCAGCCCTCTGCGGAAAATGTGGAAAAGTGTGTAGTTTACCTCCCTCAACATGCCTTGCTAATGGTCTGTTAAGTTTTGACACAAGTTGTATGCACAATTGAAAATAAATAATTGACTATACATATTGTCAAGTGTTTCTAATTTATACCCCATAAAGACGTTAAAAATTTGAAGTTTGTGTTCAGGGATGCATGAAGCTGGGGGAGGGAGGAGAACAATATGAACCAATGAAGGTCGGGGTAGCATTATAGTACCTGCAAGAAATTCAAACCACTTTCACCCCTGCTAACAAGTACTGAGTCCAACAGTACCAATGTTATTAAGAATGTATGGTAAGTAAGACATGTTTTTATCGAAAAATATAGCACAAAAACATGTATTATTTTATTTTTGTACCGCTTCTCGGTGATTACCGTAAAGACGCTATTAATCGCGCACTCAAACATGAATAGCTGCTCATTTGACCAAGCAAATGCGAGAGGCGGCTGAGTTGACCGCAGTCTTAATTAAAGTATCTAGTATACGTTTTGACCATAGACTGTATATATAAAGGTTTTGACACATTTGTCTTTCTTTTACTAGTATCTCCAAGAGCTGTATAGTGCCTTCACTGCACCTCGTATACTCAACATGTAGGAACGTTTAAATGATGCACATTGTGTTCGGATGTAAACAAAAATGGGCAGACCTGGAAGAATAGTAGACTACACGTTTTTAACCTTAGGACATGAGATGGCATGGAGCCTTTTACGCACTGAAGCTGCAGAATGAAGAGGAGGACATGATGCAACAGGTAGACAATGCAAGCTGAGTTTGCAGCAACACACTCAACCTGCAGGTCTTTTAAAGGTGACCATACTTTTGGGAGGATATTATAATGTAAAAATGAAGAAAAACTTAGTATGGTGAGGAAAACAGGACTTAACTATCTACCTCAAAGGGAAAGTACTTAGTTCCAACCAGAGGTGTGGTTCAGTCCTTGGGATGGAATCCCAGTCAAGTCTCGTGCCAATTAAAAAAGCTAATCCTGCTGTTTGATTAATTGTTAATATGACAATTACAATCATAGCGAGAGTTCCTGGTATTACTTTACCTGTATCAATTTGGCCATCATAAAGTACGCCTACATTATGTGGCTAAGTATGAACCAATTTAAAGTAAGATTGAAACATACACATGCATATCAGCCAATTGGTCATTTCCACGTTGATGAGTGAGCCAATCAGATTCCTGAACTGGTACAGAGGCACGGGTTTTTCCAAATGATTGAAATATTTTACACTTTCTGGGGCATAAAGGAGTAGTGTCAGATTCCCAAATGTAAGGATTTGCTGCTTTATATTTATATAATTTTAATGAAAGTAGTTGCAGTCTCAAAAGGAAGTCAACCTCAAGCAACTAGTAATATGCTGCTTTGAAATTAATCCATGAGTGTTAACAATGATAGCATATTCTTTAATAGTATACAGGGGACATTTTTATGTGTACCTTTACTTTCACTTGTAAGTCTTCTCCTAGACAGGAAAATTGTACTTGAACATTTAGAGTAAAAAGTACTAAATGCAGAAACTGTTATACTAAAGTACATTCTTATTTGTAGGACATTTATTTGTAAAATAGTGTTTTCAAAGGGTTGATTAGATTAGGTTAAATATACTTTATTGATCACATTTTTTTTCTTAAATGACTAATTTCATCTAAGTGAACGGTCAGAACTCCTCCTCCATTTTCTATAGAACACCTCGTTCGTTCCTGATTAGCTCATGAATTCAATTTCTTCCGACAGCACCTGAAAGCAGCATGAATACAGTAAAATAACCAGCAGGAGCAGTCAAGAGTGGAGCTGAGCGGAGAGCAGACAGACAGCTTCCTGGATGGAAACAAAACGCAGCAACAAAGCACACACTCTCACACACACATAGACACACCTACACACAGCCCGGACAGAAGCCAGCAGGACCTTTAAACATGTTTTTGGTTGTTCTGTAAGCCCGCTGCGTGTGTGAGACAGCGGAGACGGTGGGTCTGCGGTGACAGCGGAGGGCTTCTACCAGCAGACTTTATCCAACACATGTGTCTCTGCCACAGTGAGAGCACTGCGGCTGTGGATCTTGACTCCTACAGTACACCCAGTGGTCCACGGGAAAGGTAGGTTCCCCTCTCTTCTCTGCTCATCTGCAACACACAACATCCATTACTATACGTTTAAACTCCATGCATGTGTAGAGTTTTGACCTGTACGAGAATGCAACCTTGAGAGAAATGCAGAAATGTCAGATTTCATGTGTGGTCTGCTTGAATCCACTGTTACATATGATTCATTACAGTGTCATACTAACCTCTGGGTAATTATTGAATAATATGCATATCACAACAAGGAGTATTACTTAAGGAATACACCTTTATATCACTGTCATTTTAATGAATATCCACCATAATGATTCTGTTTAAACTGATGTAGAGTAACTGCATTAGCATTTGTATAATCATCATCATGTTGCTGTTTTAACTTTGTATGCTCTTATCTAAGGCTGTGTCCCAAAATCATGTTATAGGGCCAGAAATACAGAACAGGGAGGGATTGTAGCTGTACAAATGATGGCATATAGATTCTGCTACACACTCCCTGAACTCCCAGGCAGCTGCCTCCTTCCCAACATAGTGGCAGCCTGTGTAGAAAGCAGCAGCAGCTTCTCAATGGGCAGATCTGTTTTTTCTGTTTCTGAAATGGTCAACAATGCTGCTTTGATCCCCATAGCTGGAATGCCGTTTAAGCCCCGAGCCGAGAGGACTGCTAATCACTTAAATGACCCGCTCCACACCTTAAAGGAACTATTAATACTCACAAGGGCGGTTTATAAATGAATAGCTCATACTTATTCGCACATATAACTGCTTGCTCAGGAGCAGGGACTGCTGCCTAGATGGATTTTGGAAAGATCTTCTGACATTTAATATATGTAGTCCCATATGCAAATATTCGGCTTGGAAATGCTTCTGCAACAGCGTTCAGTAATCCTCAAAATCGTTTATGCAAACTTTAAATCTGTTCATTGTGTTTAATTGGAATCCGACCGCCGTGAAGTATTGATGAATTCTACATTTCCCAGTCAATCAAACTGCCTTTTATCTGTCACATTAAAGGTGGAACAAAACTCTTCGTCTGCTGTTCTGAGATAAAATCACTTCAAACAGCTTCATCTGTTGACACCCAGGTCATGTCGAAACAAAAAGTTGTTCAGGAACGAAAGGCTTTGGCGTTGCCATGCAGCAAAGTTAGCTGACTAGAGACCTATCATTTCCCATGTGGCTGCTTATGCTCAGGCAGGAGAGGATTGTATTGTGGGATGACGACTGCAGCCTGGCTGGATGCAGTGCAACATGACTGTGCAGAAATACCAACGTGCTGCTACACAAGCTCCATTATCACTCTTTTGCATGTATGGCCCTGCTGATCTGTAGCACGTAATAAAAGAGCACTGTGAGAAGAATTTAGGACACCAGTGTTGGCTGCATTGATTTAGCTGGCCCAAGTTTTCCTGCCAATTTCAACAGCCCGCTGAAATGGAGAACATTGTGTGTAGGTTGGACTAACGTGTGATTTCAACAGGCTGCAGAGTGTGTTTTTAACGCCACCGCTTCCTTTGTGACCCCGTTCTGTGTCCAACCACTGTTATCTACAGGATTAATCGCTAATCCCAGATTATGAGTTTATTATTTCTCATGCTTTTTTGGGATTGGACAAACCCGAAGGGATTGGATATTGGGTTTGTGACTTTGGTTGCCTTTAACAATAGATTTTCCTTTTATTATCCATTTATTAACCCCTCTCCTGCTGTCCCAACATATACAACTAGTGCATTATGTTTGATAGTTGAGGGCGGAAATCACAGATTATGTTTATGCCTGATGCTGTAGTAGAGCAGATTTAGTGAAATATTGCTTTTTGTCTGTTGGCCGGTTGCGTTTACTGCTTTGGTCTAGGCAGAAATATTTCAACAACTATTACATGGATTGGCAACTTTGTGCAGACATTCATGGTGTCAAATGGCCGAATCCTAATGTTGTTTCCCTTCATTTTCCACTTTATTGTAGTTTTGGGCTAATTAGCAAATGTTGGCATGCTAACATGCTAAACTACGAAGGTGGATATGTAGATGTGAACATTTTATCTGTGAAACACTAGCATGTAAGCCCTTGTATTATGAGCATCATTTCATGATTGTTGGTCTCATCAAATTGCAATTTTCACATTAAAAACACAAATGTTAAATTTTTTTACTTTGCTCAACTACATTTTTCAAAATGGTGTGAGCTCTGACAAATATGAAATGTTGACTATCCGGATTCTTCTCTCTTTAGTCTGACTAAAGACTATTTCAGTCTAACACTTTTAAAACATAAAATTAATAAGAGAGAGTTGACCTGTTTTCCATCTTTCTACTACCCCCTGCCCAATGTTGAAATGACGTGCCTAACCAAAACGTTTCTACTGTACCTACTATGGATACACAGGCATGTATTTACTTTGTAACTAAAAACTCGACAATCAGTCCTGCCAGAGTGAGTGAGATCTGGTCAATAACTGAACACTCAGTAAACACAGACCTTGGACTTTGGCATTAAATACGCCGTGATGAGTAATCAATAATGCAGCAGTAATTACACATAATTATGTTTTGCTTCATGCACCTGGCAGCTTTAAACAGTGACTAATTCATCTCTCAGGTAACAAGACAATGAAATGCCTCAGGGAGGGGTGAAGTCATCATGTTGGTACACTGGTTACCAAAAGAGATGACAGGTTCCAGGAACAGAGCAGTGTTGCCATAAGGCCTGGCTGAGGTATTATGTCAACAGTATCGAAGAGGAAGTGGTATACCTGCACTAAGGAGACAAGTTTCTGCTTTCAGGAACATGGAGGCTGTGGCTCCTCTCCGTCCCCAGCAGAGGGGCTAGGAGCAGCCTGATCCCTTCCTCACCCGACTGCATCGCCCCATCATGGCCAACAGGAGTCCCACCCTGATTCGGGACGCCGGGGATTCGCTGGGGACCCCTGAGGCCGGGGCCAACCCTCGTCCAGGGCCCTTTTGCAAGCTGTGCCTCAGCGAGCAGCCGTCTGCAGCCACCAGGGAACTCCAGAGCTGCAACTGTTTCTTCTGCACAGCGGTAAGTAAAAACAAATGAATGGCAGACATTTAGAATAGATAATGCTTATGTTATTAGCAGAACTACAACAGGATGTTGGCTAAAATGGAAATTAAACATGTGAACATTTATTACTGAAACAGAGCGGGTGACTCAAGGCTTTATTTAGATGAAATGCATCCGGATCATCTTCTGATATTGCTTATGCTTTTAGTCACTTTCCGTAGGCGTTGAAGATTTCACAAAAAAGGGATCCGACTCCGAACTATTCCTTGGGCAATTTAGGCAAATCTCCAACTTTTAAATTACTTGCGATGGGATGCTCCGTTTTATTGCAGCCCCATTACTGCTTTAGGATCCAAAAATAGATCATTTTATTGGCACATTGCATATTACAGTGCTGGTGTAATGAATTGGTTTCATCACAGGAAGTCTTTACCTCACATTTACTTTCTTCGTCTTTGGAATTTCTTGCGATTTATCACAGCTGTTGGCATTTGTTAGAGTGGAAATAGAGACGTTTTTTTCTTAAACTCATCAGTATGAAGCAAACATGGATTTCACAATGTACTGGTTATAGAATAATGACAACATCATTTAGATTGATGTTGTCATTATTGGTTCCCCATAAGCTCGCCCTAACTGTGCAGTAGTGTAAATAAAGCTTTGATTTGAAGAAGAAGATTAAACTTATTGTCATTACGTAGTACAGGTACTAGTAACGAAACGGTTTCTCTGCATTTGACCCATCCTGTGTTAGGAGCAGTGGGCTGCCATTATGTACGGCGCCCGGGGAGCAGTGTAGGGAACGGTGCCTTGCTCAGGGACACCTCGGTAGCACTTGGTCTTTCCGGGACTTGAATTGGTGACCTTCCAGTTGCCAAGCCAATCCCTATGGACTACGCCACCACCGCTATTTATGGCAAATAGTGGAAAGAAACCCACAGTGTGACCTAACACTAGCTCCAAAAGTTAGCAATTATTGCTATCAAGTTCCTATTTGCATAAAGCTTTAAACTACAATTACGTTTTGCAATTAGTTCTATTAACATTGAGAATATGTTACAATATAATACATTTTAATACATTTCTTGCTTGAAAATGGAAAGCGATCTAGCAACAGCGGCACCAAAAAAGTTGGTCAGGGCCACAAGTTCTTAAGAAAACCTGGCAGCTGTTTAATTCCTTTTAAAAGAGAAGAAGAGCTGTCGGTAGAACACAGAGCTGAATCACTATAAAGCCCGTGGCAGTCTGATACGTGCCTGTCTGGCATTTCCAACTGAGATGTTGCCGTTGTGCCCTGACACAGAGAGCTGGATCGTGGCAGGTGTTAATCTCTGCCCGAGGAGATGTCAGTGTTGCTCGCACAAGGTCACACAGATAATACACACACACAGTGTCACGGGGGAACTGCTTGGAAAAGAGAAACTGTAAACACACTTATCAGCTATTTTATGTCTCCTCCAGTCTGGTTCCAGAGAATAGACAATTGTTTTTTTTTCTGCTTTGTTTTTAGATCATTAAGCCCATGGTTAGCACATGATAAGCACAAGTTAGCGCGTACGATTGATTCTAAAACACATTGCGAGATAGCTTTGTTTTCCACTGAAAAGTGACTTACTTTCAGTTCCGCTAAATTGTCTGCCTTTGCGCAATGTTTATTAAGTTCCCCCTACACTTCCATATTTCTTCACTGAGGCAACATATGACTTTTGACGTGTGGATGCTGAAAAGATGTCCATGTTTATGTTGCATTTTTTTTTTTTCATTCTTATTTTCCCTGTACTTTAATACTGATGTAAAGTTGTGGACAGTTAAGAAAATGTTATTATGAAAATGTTGAAATGTATTAATTTAATATTAACAATTGCGCTATGGTACAATTGTCACTATTCCATTCAGTATCCAGACTAACGCTGCTGTGTTGTCTGTCCCTCTCCAGTGTTTGGGGCAGTATGTTCGGCTTGCCATCCTGGAGGGCGGGGGGGCACCCATCACCTGCCCAGGTATGGCCTGCCAAAAGGCTGGAGTGCTACTGGACTCTGAGGTATGCCCTGCTAAACACCATTGACATGTAGGTCATGAGTGAAACCAAATAAAGTCATCACAGTCCAATGAAAACTGATCTTCATGGACAAATGTTGAAATAAACTTTATTTGTAAATGTCTAAGTTGCTGCAGAGTTTTCTATAGAAAATTGAAGTTGGATGTTCCCCCTCAAGTTTTTCGAGCTGTGTGGGCAGGGTTAATTAAGTGTTGTGAAAATGCTGTGAACCAGCAGTGATGGCATTTCTGAGAGAAGTCTTTTAAGTGTCAGACAGAAAGTGAAACTCTGTGAGCTCATGTCACACATCGTGGATCCCACACAGTAAACACGTCAGAGAAGGAGTTCAGACTGATTCGCAAACAAATGGAATACCGCTTCTCACGTCCTCATTTTAAAGGTTTTGAAAACCACTGCAAGACTCTCTGGACTTTCTACTGAGTTGATTTTACTTTTTTATTTAAATGCTGTTATCCAGTAGAACATTGTACAGATGTTAGACAAACAAATATTAATAAATAAGCCCTGCGAGCAGTTTTGATACATATTTAAGTCTGTTTTTAGTCTTAAAAGGTTTAAATCTGGCCTGTGGAACATGTGTGTCGTACCCTATATTGCCACCCTAACAATTCTTCTCTATAAAACAGGCTAAACTGGCCCACAGATATCTTTAAAAAAATTAAAAGAAGACAGAAATAATGTTACCATCGTGCTGGTTTGAAGAATTGACCAATTGGCATTTCTTACTGTAAGCTTATGGTGCTTTGGGCAAAAATACTCAGTATTTCCAGACTCATTATTTCCAGATTAGCATCTTATTTGTTGATCATGTGTCATTTTGCAGCTTTTACTGCAACATGGATTACATTATAATTGTGGCTTTGCTGCCTTATTTCATTTAGAAAATGTTGCATTTGACTTCTTGTCTTATAATGTAGCAAAAATATTGTAGCAAATCAGTTGTAATGTGACCAGTTGACGCTTGATGACCCTTGAGGCACCAGCTTTCAGCACTCAAAATACCAACATGGGCTAATTTGATTGTGACCATCATGTATTTTTTCAATTATTCATCCATTATGGATTGATCATACTTATTGCATGCACACAAAACACAATGTCACAGCTCCAAGTGTCAACAACATGACTAAAGTGTCTCTCTTGTTTCTGTGATTGCAGATAGCCAGCTTGGCCTCGGAGGATCAGGTGGAGCTGTATCAGCGTCTGAAGTTTGAGAGAGGTAGGTATTGTTGCATTAGCATGTAGATGACTTGTGACAGGCATTGGACTATTTCAAGTCGCACTTCAGCTGGTGTTATTACACCAAGCAGCAAGTGCCAAGCTTTACGTATCTGGGATAATGTATAATGTATAATCTCTTTTCTATTCTGCTCTGGTCCAGTGTTACTCAGGAGGTTACTGAAACTGTGGCTTTGTTAAATTCAATTATAGCAAACATGAGGTTTATGTAACTATTATTTTAAATTGAAGTGTTTCAGGTACCTTTGTGTAGCTGATTGCACCAGTACTTGTGGGAATGTCTGTCTAGTTGCACAGGAACAAAATGCTGTGAGGCCCATAATACGTTTTGTTTACTTTGACCATAAATCATAACACTCATAATATTTCATGTGTAAAGAAGTGCAAAGTAAAGGCTGTTATGCAACAATGTTTATGGTCATTTGATTCACAACGAAACTCAGAGTGGTGGGGGGGGATCATGAATGCTCCACTTTTGGTTTTGATCAAAAATGCCAGATTTCTGTTATTGAAAGCATTTCATAAATTGTTTATTTGTATACTTCTTTCCTCATAAGCTACTTACAAGGTTGTTTGTCTCAGTTTGTAAGTCGGCTCACCAATTTATTCCAAGTTCATTTTAATTGAATGGATTGTCCTAAAAATGGTGATCATTTCTAATAACTTTTTTCCTTTGACTTTAATAATACTCCCACTAGCTTCTGCTGTAGACCTACTTGTTTTTTAGCACAGATTATCAAATGATGACATGCTAACACTCTAAACTAAGATGGTGAACGTCGAAACACATTACCTGCAAAACATCAGCATGCTAACATTGAAATTGTGAGCATGTTAGCCTTCTGACATTAGCCTTTAGCTCCGACCAGTGTTGTGCCCAATGTTCCTTGCAGATGGTCACTAGCATGACGACAGTAAGTCATGTTGTTTAAAATGTTTTTCAGTACAACAAATGGCTATACTCACATAGACTTAATAATACAGACCTTTGTTTACCTGTTTTCAGTGTTTAGCATGCTAACACACAGCTCCATTTTGCCATTTTGAGCATGTTAGCATGATGACGATAGCAATTAGTTCAAAACACCGTTGACCCAAGTCTCCCAAAGATGCTAGAGGGAATTTTGTCGATAGTTTGACTTTGTATTGAATTTAATTGTTTAGTCAAACTGTTGTCCTATCCTTTCTGAAGTGCACAAAGTGGTGTTGTAAGAAATGTTTATTTGTAATTTCTTGCCTGACTTGTCAAACAAATGTTTATTTGCCTGATAGGAATAATTGAATTAATGGTAGTAATACTTTATACAGTATATTCATACTGTTTATATTAGAACATACCTTTATTTTGTGTGTTAAGAACTAGGAACTGTGCTAGAAGATTGAGGGAGTGACACACTCACTGTTAGTAAGACAGTGAAGTATCTGTGTTTTTTCAAATCTTAAGAGATCAGTTGTCCAGCACTGAAGTATCTGTGTTTTGTTATATCTTATGTTAGAGATCTGTTGTCCAGCACTAACAATGTGTTCCAGATTAGTAGTATAACTAATTCTAGACTACTGGTGGTTTTGTTTGAAAGAGCAGGCCTAATACTAGTATAACTTGGGTTAATAGAACAGCAAAACGTGTTTATTTTGTCTGTAGAATCTGCAGCTTCTTGATGTCTTCTTCCCTGCCCATCCCTCTGTGCTTTCTGCAGGAGTGAAGTTGGACCCCAGTAAGGCCTGGTGTCCGGTGCTTGAGTGCCAGGCGGTGTGCAGTGTGCAGCAGAGCAGTGAGGGCCAGCCTGCCGCTGTGCCCTGCCCCACCTGTCACACCGTCTTCTGCTCCGGGTGCAGAGGGTCCTGGCTCGACGACCACACCTGCCCTGAGCAGCAGCCCATGATGTCGCCGTCACTCGCTCATGAAAGCAGGTCAGTAAGCCACCGCTTGTTCCACGTCCCTCCGTCTGCAGCAGCCACAGAGTCAGAGCTGCACCTGATAATGAAAATGAAACTGTGCTGAAAAACGTGTAAGTTCAGGTCACTGGGAGTCTACGAAGAAACACTGCTGTAAACAATGATTCCAATAATGGGTTTCAAAAACATGTATTCCATGCTATTGCTACGTTTAATATTACTTTATAAGATATTGTATTACCTTCATATTTATCCTATTTACCCCTTTATCTTATTTTATCAGAACAATCCAGTCCTATTCTTAATATAAAAACACCTGACAGTTATTGTTGCTGGATATTTACATCGAATGGATTGTACAAGTAATGTGCAGTCCATCATGTCCCAGCAGAGTTCTGGGCTGAATATGCAGTAAACATTATTTTAGGATTAATAGCTGAGTATTCCTCAGCAGGGCCCGGTGGGTAGTCCCCGCTGTAAAGCTACATTTGACAGTTTCTCTGCCAGAACGGCTGATGTCATTGGGGAGTCACTGACTTATATTGGAATTCCATTGTGTCTGTGCCAAAGGGAGGGGGTGCGCCACGGAAGCCACGTCGTGTACAGAAGGAGCACTGCAGTAAAGGTGTCTGCAGTGTGCGGTGAAGGAGAGAGCAGGCACGAGGAGAATTTGGGGAGATTAACTATACGTTTTTTAACTATAACTATAACTTGAGAGCATGATTTATATTTGCTTGCAGGTTTAGTCATTAAACATAATGTTATTATACCAGAATCATAGCCAGTGCCTTAGAAACACTGCAGTAAGGATTCACTAGCCAACACAAAGGATTTACAAGATGTAATTAAATCATTGTGTCTACCTTTATGATGATGTATTAGTTTGTTGTATCTAATGATAACAACATTTCATTTCATTTAGGGATTTATCATTATTCTGAATAAGCAAGGAACTAGTGATATATTTATTCCGTTAACTTTTTGTTCTCCGTTCTACAGAGAAACGCTAATGGTTGCTGCTAGGGTTTTTCACATTTATAAGAAACACATCAACATTTTTGTGGCAACTTTTGCGGTCCTATTTGCTGGCACTGCCGATGGGAAATAGCGTTGGCATTCTTAATCCCCCCTGCAAAGCCCCAACTCACTTGATTGCTTTTCCGTGATCAGCAGAGTTAGTGAATAATAAAGAAGAAAAATGTGCGGGCAGAAATTGGCACTGCTTGAAATTAAAGTTGCTCTAACCTTTGTTTTCATTTCATCGAGTGAGGAAAACACTGCGTATTAGTAAGAGCATTACCACCTGAGCTTGTGGTTCTGGTTTTATTGCACACACCTTTTCTGTTTTGTTTCCATCATGTTTTTCAGCTGTAACGCGCAGCTATTTTAAACAAGAATTATCTTATTTACGCACACTACCTGTCGAGAGCCAAATGGCCAAATGTTGCTACTAGAAGAGATTCACTTCTCTCAGAAGGTGGAGACCAAATTAGAGAATAAAGAAGAGTGAATATGGGATTTACATCCTTCAGATAGCTGTAAACATCCTTCTTAATAAATGCTAATATTGCCATGTTTGTTCTGGATGTTTTAATAGGCAATTGTTTGCTAAGTAGTTAGCCATAACAACTTTAAAAGTTGTAAATATATAAACATTTTTAAATGTATAAATAATTTTCCCTAGTGCAAAGGAACCCTAAAACCTGTGGCTTTCTAAACAATCCACTCCCTATCTGGAGACTTCGGATGCCTTCATGGCTTCATACTGCACATCTGACGTCTCTCCACTGTGTTTCTATAGGCTGCGCTCCGACAGCGACTCTGACATGCCCATCAAGCAGTGTCCTATGTGTGCTATCTACATCGAGAGGAACCAGGGATGTGCACAGATGCTGTGTAAGAGCTGCAAGCACACCTTCTGCTGGTACTGTCTGCAGAACCTGGATGTAAGTCTCTCCTGATGCCTAACACACATGGTTTTTAACACAAGCTACAAAACAAACTATACTGCCTCTTACTACCACCTGTTTTTTACAGGCAAGTTCACATCTCCTCAGCCTCTGCTTCTCTATCTTTAGATTGTTTCCTACATTTCTTGCTGAATAAATACTAGATAACAGTGGTGAAATGTAACTTTAATCTTTTGCTACTTCATTTAAACCACTAGTTCCCATTGTATTATTTTACTCCACTAGATTTATTTAATGTCCTTAGTTGTAGTTAGTCTGCATGTTCAGATTATTTTTGAAAAAAACAAACTATAAATATCAATCTTATTTTATATAGTTGTGAACTTTTTAATGTACAAGCTACCCAGCCAGCAGACAAACAGAATACAAATATTAAGAATTCAAATGTTCACCCCTGTTTCCAGCTTTAGAATGAAAGTGATCAAAACAATAATGCATCAATAACTATTTTCCATTAATATTATATATATTATTCTGAGATGGAGAATTCTGCACAATGAGTACTTTTGGTAATGCATGACTTTTATTAGTAAACTAGAATGTGTACAATGTGTTTGCTAATTTGACTTAATTACACTTCCACTTCTGCTGAATAATATATTTCTTGTCTAACCAAGTATATTTCCCAATTGCAGGGCGATATCTTCCTGAGGCATTATGATAAGGGGCCGTGCAGAAACAAGCTGGGACACTCGCGGGCCTCGGTGATGTGGAACAGAACGCAGGTGAGGACACAGCAGACGGCAGACATGCCGTTTTATTTCAGGGTTGTGATGAGGCTTGACATTGTCTGAATGGATTAGCCTACAGAGCCAATCATCCGTGAGTGGTCAGTTATAACTGGAATGGGTTTGATTTGAGTAAAAGTGTGCCAACACACAGCAGGGATTGGACGTTAAAGATTTTGATTTCCATGCCAGCTGCACTGTTTGGCTCTCAAATCAATGATACACGGTTGGAATTTCTCTCCAGTGAGGACGGCACACGGCACAGGTATCTACTCTACGCAGGACAATAACGCTTACAGCACGCTTTAAAAATATAAAAACAAAAGCTACATATTATACATAACTATCAATTTTCCCTTTAGGTGAGACACTACAGATGAATATGTTTTAACTAAGAAATGTCACTTTGAAGCTTTCCTGGTTTATTACCTACATTTTAGGTACAAATATGCAAATTAGCCTTGCTATTGCAGATGTGCTTTCAACATTCATTAATTTCCAGAACAGAAATCCCAGTGTTGGATAAAGCCAGCCTGGGCATTCTTATTTAATTCTTAATATTTGTGAAAATATTAGAGTCAAAGATTCAATCCATGGTAGTTTTGGATATCCTTTGTGTCTCTCCAATAATATAAAAAATACTCTGTCTTGAGTAATATATGAACAAATCCCTATCCTTTCGTAGCTGTAGTGTCTCTCTTTATGGACCCATAAACTCTGTTCTAGCACCATGTTTGTGTTAATAGTCCCAAAATAGTCCTTTACCAGACATTAAACTGAACTAATCCCAGTGCTAATCTCAAATTCCTGCCCTGTATCAAAACCATAAGCCGCTGGACCTACTTTCTCTACACCTCTGCTGCCCTGATGCCATTATCACATTATTCCTATTAAGATTGCAGTGGTCCTCTTGATTCTTCCTCAGCGTGTGTCTGCATTGATACGTGTCTGGAGAGTGGACGTACAACTCTGCAGTTGTTCCTTCCAGAACAACTCCTGACAAACTCGGTTTACTCTCTTGCGCGACCAGTTCCTGAAGTTTTACAATCTGCCGTCACACATTCCTCTGACAGTGTTGCTCCTTTACTGCCTGCAAACACTGCAGTGGTGACTATAGTATACTGTGAAACTGGAACGAAGGAGCCTAGCCAAATAATTCAAAATAACCTTAGACAAAACATAAAAAGACACATATGGACAGCCGTGTCCATGCACTTTTGGCTATGTAATGTAGAATAGTGTTGGCAGGGTAAAACACGTTTTCAGGTTCAATTACATATAGCATTACCATTACATACATTCTATAATCCTACATACTACAAAAATGTAGTTTAGCTACAATCCTATTTGTTGACAATAAATTCAACAACTTATCAAAAAATTACAATTTTAAACTAGATCATTGGTGTTAAAATCAATCAATCAAAAAGGCCTGAAAGGTGAAGACGATGTGGAAGTGCCTTGAATTATTTCTAATGACAAACAGCAGATTGTGAAAAAAAATCTGATTGTATAAAAGTCTATGAGAAATCAATCCTACTTCCCACTTGATTTATTGCCCAAGTAAGCATTTTCCTAATGAGTTAATGATCTCAATTGCTAGTTCCATGTGGTCTTCAATACAGCATCATGGTCACTTTGTAAATTATAGTCCCAAATTAGTCAAATAGAAGAGAAAGCCGCATATGCTTTAGTGTGGGGCTACGTTGATGTTGACAGGGCGCTACCGTCAGTGCTGTCTGATCTGGGGGTTATCTGTGTTTTTATATTGGTACTTTAACCCTTTCACACTGAGTTTCACTTCATGAAAGTTCATTATTACATTTTGGCTGCCTAGAAATGTATTTTTAAGCATTTGGTTGTAGAGACAATTGATTGCGCCACTTCTGGTATAAAAAAAACCAAGATGGAGGCAGCTAATATGCCAAACTCAAGGCTCCCACAAACAAATGGCTCACAGTGACTACGTTCATTTTCAATTACAGTCTAGGTTTAAAAAGATACATGTATCGCTAATTATTAAATGTAAGAACTGTGGGTGGCAAAAGAACCATGCAAAGTGTTTGTAGCTGACATGTTAGCATATTTACAAATCCAGCCTTCTTAAAGCAACATTAGCATTGATTTGGAATTGGGTTTCTGTCCAACTGATGACTGTCAGTCCTATATTTACTCTTGTTAAGGCCCTGTTTTGGACTCCACCAACTCTCTTTACTGTTTAGTGCAGAGCAGGTAGTGTATGATAGGTTTATTAATACCTTTTCACTGAAAACAAGGTTAAAGAGCAGTGATACTGAACCAAAGCCATAGCGGAGGGGCCATCAAATCAAATCAATGAGCCAAAAACGTCTAAAAACGCTCCCTCGATGTGACTGAAGAACTTGGTGATAATTATTAACTAAGTGCAACCCCTTACATATGACTCATAATCATTTGATCCAGTGTTTATAAAAAAACATTTGCTGTGTTGTCTCCCAGGTGGTGGGTATCCTGGTGGGTGTTAGCATCATCGGACTGGTCACGTCTCCGCTCATCCTGCTGGCCTCTCCCATCATCCTCTGCTGCCTCTGCAAGCCCTGCAGCGGGAAGAAGACCAAGAAGAAGAAGAAGAAGAAGAAGAAGAAGGACCTCAGCCAGCCAGACTCCTCCACATCATAGCAGCTCGCCTTCTCATCTGCCCCTCCCAAGGAAACCACGAGAGGGCGAGAGCTGCCTGGTGGAAAATAATAAAGTCGGAATGACAATGGATACATTTTTCATGACTCAACGGACTGGGAACCTTGTCAGTGGTTCAATAAGTGCAGATCTGGTTGAATTCTAAAACTACAAGTACTTTATATGGTGGAAGTGTAAATATGAGGAGAATGAATGTAACTCACCTGGTTGTTTTCAGATGACACAACAGGTACTAAGGAGACAGTGGCGACTGTGAGAGTTTTCCTGGACACACACACACGCACACACAAACAGACACTAACACATACAAACAAATGCAACACCACCCTCATGTGCCAAACATCATGATGCCAAACCAGAGGAGTTAGGCGCTCAAGTGCCTCACTCCACAGTGCCTGGTGCTTGGTTGTATTTGTTTTGCCTTCCATTCTATCTTTATCTTGTGCAAAAATGTTAGCATTATGAAAAATAAGAACTGTCAGGATTACAGGGGTTATAAAACCTTAAACAATGCAAAACATTCTTTCATAAAGGGTGAAGGCTAACGCCCGGCGTCATTTGTGCACTGTATATTCTGTACTGGTATGAAACATGATAGGGCTTCAACGGTGCACAGAGAACTTTCCTTCTGCTAATGTTTGTTGTTTCCACCTGGAATACGTTCCAGACCAAAGGCTCTTAAGGATCACGTGTTCTTTTCTAAAAGTGTGTCAATGTGTATTTATGGGTTATGTGTGTATGGTTATCATTTATACATTTTCGTTGATGTTTCTGCATCAGATATTTTCTAAAAAATCGCCATTGTAATTGAAATAAACATATTATATTGAACATGAATCAGATGGTATTGTGTTTGATCATGATATGTAGTATTTGAGAGACGGAAAAGTCTTCATCCTTCTTCCTATAAGCTCCAGGTGTCCTGGATGATATGAATTGTTATTTTAATAATTTCTTTCTTTCTAAGTATATATATTAACATAATTTTAAGTATATAAGTACGTTTTTACTAAATAATTAAAACAAATCAATTTTATATATTTATCTAAAATATTTGTACGATTACTTTACACAGAGGAAAAAGTAATACACTTGTATGATAGTAGTATAACATACTTTGGAATATTTTACTAACGAATAAAAAAATTAATAAGTAAGAGCATTCATAGCATATTCTTATATAATTGTTAACATAAATATAAACACTGTATATCAACTTTATGATAGAAAATATACATGTTATGTTTCTGTTTTGTAAAAAGTTACAAAAAAATATGCTACTGGCCCAACTCTCACCTAAAGCACAAGAAGTTCAAGCATTCCAAATAGGCTCTTGGAAACACACATGAACACGGTCCTGATATTGTTAGTGTTATGACATCCTTTTAGAATCGTATAACTCAAGATTAAAGATATTTAGTTACAGCAGCATAAAAAACATGGCATTGCACATAATTAGAAATTAAAATAGAAACATCTAAAAATAGAAAATAAAAGTTGATCGTGAAGATAACAATCTGTAAACTATCTGACTAATAAAACAGTTTACAGCTAACACAATATAAAAGTAGGATATTATTTGCATTAAGTGTGCAATGTAAAATGTACAGTATAAAAAGTATATTATCTTATGACAGTACCAGTCAAACGTTTGGATACACCTGTTCATTCAATGTTTTTTTATTTATTTTAAATGTTTTTCTACTTTGTAGATTAATACTGAAGACATCAAAACTATGAAAGAACACATATGGAATTGTCTAGTTAACAAAAAAGTGTTAAAAAATC